ACATTATGTGAATTCACTGATTTCATAATAGGCATCATTCATAAGATGATATTACTGTATTTATAACCGGCTTCTTATATGTTTTAACATCTTTCTGTGTAATTATCTAAAAGACATGTATCATTTCAGGATTCTTTTTTCCTTCTCTAGCCACTTATGCATCTCTTAGACCAGCTGAGCTCTCTAGCTAGACCTGCACTGACTCTATGGTTTGACCCAATGCTGATTCATAATTTTAAGTATTTTTCAGAGTTCCAAGAAAAGATACCTGAGCTTCATTGAAACCTTGCTCCAAACTGCTAATCTGGTGGTTTGCCCCAGTTATTATCACAGAAGCACTCCAGCAATTTGCTGTGTTTGAAGCATCTCAATCCTGAAGGACATTTCAGAGGGATCCAGCTACTGCATGGTTCGATTATTCTTTAACCCCAAGGCCTTTACTCATAACCGCTATTTTTAGGAACCTTGTTTTAAAATGTATTTAAGGAATTCATTCCCAGTTGGAGCCTGAGTGATGGCCAGGCCTTGGCTCTACCTGGATGGAGAATTTGCCAACAAACCCAAATGTTTTCTGCATCAAAACCAGATTCAGGTCACTTTGACTTGAAAATTTGACCCTTTATATATGATAGCTGAACCTATTTTTAAAGTAAGCTTGGGAATTATTATCTGGAAATAATTATCCAAGCCCTCACTAAATTGAGGTTTGTCATCTGTTTGCAGATTCTGGGATGATGGTACAGTATTTCAGAGACTCCTAATTACCTAATTTCACATGTATTATTAATTATGTGTATTATCTGAAATATTCTTAATTGTTCTACCTGAATTATTCTTGATTACTGTCAGTTTCTTGTTCACTACATGTATTGTTTTGCCTTGATGTTTCTTCATGCAAATGAGAAGTAGATTTAACACAACACAATCTATTCTGATGGTGAAAAACAAATGCACCTGTGTAAACAATGAAATTTGTCCCATGAGAACTCACAAAGGAAAAGTGTAAACATATCTAGAGAGAGAAAATTTGATAGAATTTTGCAATATGAATGAACTGAATTTCACTGTATTGCTCAGCAATTAGGTTTAACACAGTGCCTTCTGATATTTCCTACAAATATGAGCTTGTTGAATAAAGAATTGGCTTTCTGCAAGAAGAAAATGGAATCTGGGCTGATTTATTCCAACAGCAGAGATGCAGCAAAAGAATACAAGTCAGCAGCAATTAGGATGGTTGAAAAAAGAAAGAGGAAAAAAGCCAAATCCCCTTTCATGTGTCCAGCCTGTTTACATTCTGGGCTAGAATAATGCTGATCTGACTCACTGCTGGCATTAATGAAGTTTGCACCTCTGGGTGAGCAATTTAATTTATCTCAGCAAGCCAAGGCTCATTATAACAGTCCGTAAATGCTATCAGATGAAAGCAGCATCCTTCAGCAACCTCGGGGATTAAAGCAAGGAGGCATTCAAGGATTCTGCTGGAAAGGCTGCAGCCAGTGCATGTGTGCTGGAGGCTGAGGGAGCACAATGAATGCCTCAATCACTGCCGCAGGTTTCTCAGTGTGGAGACAGTGAGCTGAGCCTCTGGAGGTGGGAGAAATGTGTATTTTATGACTGAAAATCATTAAAAAACGGCTCTTGGACAGCAGCAGAGGTGGTGGTGCTGCAGAGAAGCCCAGGTGTGAAAAATGCCAGTCACTTGTTTTTTTAAATTTTACAAGTTTAATAATAATAAAATGGTTATAAAATAGCAATATAATTAAAGTAATAAAAATGTGGACAATTTGGATTAGGACAATATGAGACAATAAAAACAAAGAGTTATGGACATTCTGGGTACATTTTCTGGGGAAAATAAGCCTGAAAAAGGGCCCACGTTAACAGAGGATTAACCCTTAAAAGCAACAGCCTGTTGCATATTCATACACCTCATCCATGATGCAGAAATTCCATTCAAACACAGGATTCTGTCTGGTCAGTGTCAGCTTCTTCCTCTGAATCCTAAGGTGTCTTCAGGGCTGAGCAAGGCAGGAAGAAGTTCATTTCTTCTGCTAATGGAGCAATAAATTCTCTTTTCTCTGAAAGATTCAGATGTCCTGTGGCTGCTATCTCAGTGTGAGCACCTCATTCTTATCTTAAAAAAAAGTATCCTACATAGCATTTTAACATTATGTTATAACCTAAAACTATATTTAACACAGCACTTAAGAAAATTAACACAGCATCACTTTCTAACACAACATATATAATATTCATTTTAATATTTATGAAAAGCCAATCATAAAATACACATTTTTCACACCAGGTCTTGATCCAAGGCACAGCCACACTGCCCACAGAGGCAAGTCTGTGCATTTTCAGTGTGGTAAAACCCACTGACCAGATAATGGGGTTTTCGTGGATGCACAGCATGTGGATGTGCTAAGCCTGTGATTTTGGGACTATAATTGTCAGTAAATTATTGATGCTGTGGCATAAGGTTGAAGCTAAGGAGGTTGATTTTTATTTCACACGATTTCTCCAAGGACTGCAGTGGAGAAAATGCCTATTTCCAGAGGAGGATGCTGCTCTGTGCACCCCTGGGATCTGGCCCTGTGCCATTCACTGCCTCTGCACATCCCCAGCCTCTGCTGCTGGGCAAAAATGGAGAATTCCCACAGCCTTTGTGGGAATGATGCTCTGTGCTGGGAGGATTTCTTCAGCGAGCTGCCATCCACTGAGCTTCTGTAGCACTTGACAAGTGCCTCAATTTGTCTGTGATCAAAACAGCAGCGCAGGGAGCTGCAGCTGTGAGTGGCAGCTGTGTCTGAGGGCTTCTGTCAGATCTCCTCCACCTGCTGCTCTAGCTGTCAAATCGAAATGTCATTTACTGTGATACAGGCACAGAAAGTGTCTCCAGGAGGCACAGCACTCCTGGTACGTGTGAGGCAGGTGGGATCTTGTCTGTGTGTCCCTCTCTGTGCATGCAAGGGTGAAGAAAAGGCAGAGCAGAGGCAGGAGGAATCTTTCTCTGGAATTCCCAACAAATCCACGTAGATGGATGGAGGTCAACACTTGCTGTAGAGCCAGGACACCAAACTGCAGAGCCCTGAAAGGGTCTGAGCACCCCATGGGGGCTGAATGCAGCCCCAGAGCTGCTTCCCTTGCCCTGGCCTGCAGATGGGGCAGGATGAAAGGAGCAGGAGAGGAGGATTCTGGCACCAGGTCAGGGCCAGAGCTGGACTGGGGAACCCCAAATCTGAGCACCTCACCTGTGGCGTGGAGCCACCCCATGTCCAGCAGCCATCCCCTGGCCACCAGAGGGGTCTCAGGGAGCCCTGCCCTGCAAGGTGAGGATTTTGTGGGCCTGAGCCTCTGGGGTTGTGTCCTCAGCCAGCCCTGGGAGCTGGCACAGGCAGCTGCTTGCTGACAAGGAAACTGCTGCCAGTTGGGCTTTTTTATCTTTTGCCTGGTCATTGTTCCAATGTCCTTGAGAGCAGAGCAGAGGGAGTGCTGGAGCCCTTGGTAGGAATAAAAGGACGAGGAACAAAGGGCCAGGCAGGGGAGCTGGCACTGCTCCTACTGTGGCACATCCTCCTCAAACCCTTCCAGGGGATCAGGGGGGGCTGCAGGAGGCTGGGAAAAGCAGGAGAGCAGGAAAAAGCGGGACAGAGGCTTACAGGGAGGTGCAGGGCTGCTGGAAACTCAGTGTCTGGCAGAGAGAGAATGAGAGCAGCTACCTCAGTGCCCTGTGCCCACCTCTGGCTGGGAATCACAAGTCAGCACCATTCAGAACAGCAGCAAGAGCTCACATTTGGAGAGCTTGCTGGAAAATGGGCTAGAGCAGCAATTCCATTGGGAAAAATAGTTTTGTCTACCTAATGCTCCCAATGTCCTGTGGGCAGTGCCTTGGTGTGCTGGGTGTGCCAGCAGCTGAGATGCAGAGATGCAGTTTCATGCTGACCCCATCCCCAGCAGCTGATGTCCCAGAGATGCGGTTTCATGCTGACCCCATCCCCAGCAGTTGATGTCCCCCCTGGTGTGCTGGGGGTGCCAGCTCAGGCTGTGCCAGTTGCCCATGCCCTGCACACCTGCCTGCTCCCCAAAACAGCCTCACTCACACCAATCCAGAGCCAGGACTGACCTTAGCCCTGCTGCTCCAACACTGAGAAAACAGCCGTGGGTGAGGATTGACAGGGACATTGTTACTGACTGAGCTGATGAGGAAAAACTGACTCAGAAACATGAAACAGACCAAGACAGAAAGAGCATCCTACCCTTTCACAGGGACCTGCCTCGTGCAGAAATGTCCCTGTCCTGTCCAATCTGCTCCAGGGCTTCACACAGCTGGAGGACTCTCACAGAAGAGGGATCTGAATTCCCAAATCCACTCTCTTCACTGACCACTCAGTCTCTGGGGATCATCCCTGAACTCTGGGGTGGGCAGAGGCTCCCTTTGGTTTCACCCACCACAAGAGCCCTGACAGCTGTGAAAATAAATCACTGGAAGAAGGAAGGCTAGGAAAGCTCCTAGGAAGAGCAGCAGAAGATAAGGGATTGTTTTGACTGCTTCTTTCTAATCTGGGCTGTGGCACATGCCCACACATCAGGAAGGCACATTTCTCAGGGCCGACCAACAGCAAACAAAGGGTGAAGCTGCGCTGTTATCTTGCCATACAACTGGGCATGATTTCCTCCTTGCCCCCACTGCAGCCACCCCAACACCCATAAATCTGCCACGCACACACCACGAGCAGCCTGCCCCAGGCTCTGTCCTCCTCCTGCCTCCTTTCCTGTCTTTGTGCTGCTCTTCCTGAGCAGTCCCAGGCTCTGCCAGGGTCAGGGCAGCCCAGCCTGGAGCATCCTGCAGGACACAGCCATGCAGAGCTCCTGCAGCCCAGCCCAGCAGCTCACACGGGGCCTCCTGCAGCCACCAAAGAACCTGGAGATGCCAGTGTGAAAAACGCCAATCACTTGTTTTTAGAAATTTAAAATTTAATTTATTATTGTCATAATAAATTATAAATGTAATATATAATATACAATATAATATACAATATAATATACAATATATAGCATATAACATATAATATATAATATATAATATATATTATATAATATATAATATATAATATATAATACATTATATATTATATATCAAATGTCATATGTTATATGTTATATATTATATCTATTTAAATATAATAAATTATTGAATATAATAAATTGATATTTAAAATTTATTAGTAGTAGTAATAAAATTGTTATAGAAAATAGTAATATAATTACAGTAATAAAAATTTGGACAATTTGGATTAGGACAATATGAGACAATAAAAAACAAAGAGTTACAGACAGTCTGGGTAGCTCTTTCTGGGCAAAATAAGCCTGAAAAAGGACCCACGTTAACAGAGGATTAACCCTTAAAAGCAACAGCCTGTTGCATATTCATACACTTCATACATGATGCATAAATTCCATTCAAACACAGGATTCTGTCTGGTCATCATGAACTTCTTCCTCTGAATCCTAACAACATCTTCAGGGCTGAGTGAGGCAGGAAGCAGTTCTTTTCCTCTGATAATGAAGCAATAAATTCTTTTACTCTGAAATATTTAGGTGTTCTGTGGCTGCTATTTTGCTGCGAGTCCTTTCTTTTAAAAAACCATCTTACACAGCATAGTTGCTATTTTAACATTATATTATAACCTAAAACAAATTTAACACACTACTTAAGAAAATTAATACAGCATCACTTCCTAACACTTCCATATAATATTCATTTTAATATTTGTG